CTGTCACAGCATGAGTATTGAACCTGTAGACATAATTGCCAAGGAGGTGTGGGCAAAAGAAAATCAGGTGACGTAAGAACACAGCCCTTAAAAAGACATTAAAAAATGTGAAAGTAGGGATATGATGAAAACAAAGAGCCGTAATCAAAAAGAGTAAAAGGAAGTTGGCAATAACACAGGATCAGAAGTCAGGAGAGGACAGAATTTCAAGGAGGAAAGACATAGTCAACAGAGAAGTTGAAAGAAGTAAGTAAAACTGGTCGCTAGGGGCTGGGGATTTAGCTCAGTGGCAAAGCGCCTGCCTGGCAAGCGCAAGGTTGTGAGTTAGATACCTGGTACCGGAAGAAAAACAAACAAAAAAACTGGTCTCTGGCTTGGTAGGAATTTCAGTAGAGTGGTTTGGGAGTAGAAAACATTACAAAAAGATGAGTATATAGAGGCAAGAAATGTGGCATACGAGAGACCAGAACTCACTAATCTGGAGCCAAGGGTTCCAGGTTCCCACTTGCTAACTGTGATTTAGGATGCAGTACTTAAAACAGACCATCTTGTTTTCCTCACCTCTAAATTTAAAATGACATTGCTCTGGCCCTACAACATTAAAGGAGAAAACGATTACATGAGAAAAGGTATGTGAAGCTGTGTTGTAAATCGTAAGGAAATAAACCTGCAGATGTTACCTACTCACAATTATTGCAAGTACTCCGGCAATTGATAACAGGAAGATAAGGAACAGGAAAAATAGTTTTACTGTTATAAGCGGCTCTGAGCACGTCTATAGAGAAAACTTTGTCTAGAGTTTGTAATGTCATCAGTCTTAATGGGCCCTTATTTGAGAAACGGGCTAGGAGCACAGACTCACAAGGATCAGACTGTAGGAGTAAATCACAGCCATGCTAATCGGCCTTTATGCGTTTTAGTTTCCTCATATATATATATGTATATATATTAGATGCTTGTATTTTTAGTTTCATCATCTATAAAACTGTGATAACAACAGTGCCTATTTCCGCACAGCTGTTGTGAGGATAGGCATAAACACTTAGAACTGTCTAGTGAATAATAAATTCTCAAAAATGTTGATAATACACAAAAGCATTGGGGCTGGGGATTTAGATCAGCAGCACAGCGCCTGCCTGGCAAGCGCAACGTCGAGTTCGATTCCTGGTACCAGAAAAAAACAAACAAACAAATACACAAAAGCATTGCCATATATAAGGACATGCCTTATTTTAAAATGGAGATGTGAGTGCTGGGGGTGTAGCTCAGT